TGTGTGTGTGTGTGTGTGTGTGTGTGTGTGTGTGTGTGTGTGTGTGGGTTGAAGGGCGTCTCCATGGTAACAGCAGCAGAGCAGCGTTCCTTTGGCGGGTTTACTGTAAGTTACGAGTCCAAACAACCTTTCGTTAGTGCTTATTCTGCAGGTTGTTGATCAATCCAGGTGACAGCAAACAGAGAGATGTTCCTTCACTCAGGTTCTAGAAAGTTCTGACTCTTCAGAGAGGAAAAGTTCCAGGTTTGATCTGAGGGTTTGTTTCCAGCTTCAGCTGCTCGTTAGAAAACAGATTTACATGTGAAAGGCCGTTTTTATCGTCGTTTCCTCAACGCAGCTGCCGGAACAATAACGGAACCAGAACGGTGCTTCGCAGTGACACCACAGAAGAACCGTTCAGCTCCACAAAGAGCCCAGCAGGAGGTTCTCTAAAAGAAAAGAAAGAGCCCCAACAATACAGCAATAAACAGTTCCTTTTTGCAACGTCAGTGGCTCTGAAGAACTTCAGTCCAAACCCATTCCTTAAGGAACCATTTACAGGAGTGTTCTTCGTGAGCCATTTCGGACAAAACCTGAGTAGCTTAGGACATATTCTGTGTTGTTCTTTGTATCCATCAGCCAGCTGCAGGAGAACGTTTGATCTCTGTGGCTCGGAGCTGCTGTGATGAGGGTTCTAATACTCCAAGGGTTCTTGTTTACATGGATGCTGAAGAACATCCAGATCATCGGCGGAGAATCGCAGCGTTCCACTGGGCTCCTCTGAACAAGAAGGCAGAGCGAGCGCCTCCCGGATCCCCGAACATGTGTTTAATGGCTGAGAGTTAAATTACAGAGCAGCAGTGAACGCCTCTCTGATGGTAATCCTGTCTGAGTGCAGCTATTTTTACATTACTGCTCATTTATCTACCGCAAACTGAAACACACTCGCATTAATGTCACCAGCAGCAAACAGAGCCATGAATTAAACATCAGCTTTGTCTTTTCACGACAAACTGCACGAGTTCAGAGTCTGACAGAAACTTTATCGACCTTCAGACTCAAACAGGCAAACAGTGATTTCCTCTGCAGGATCGATTCCATCTGAGAGTTCAGTTTTATTTCATTTCAGGTTACAAGTGTGTTTTAGTGTGTGTGTGTGTGTGTGTGTGTGTGTGTGTGTGTGTGTGTGTGTGGGTGTGTGTCAGCAGATCAATGGAGCTCGAGCAGAATCGATTAGAAAAACAAGAGGTTTAATCACGGTGGCGAGCCGAGAGGATGAGCGAGGACAAAGCTGACTGATGACGAGAGCCAGAGAACAAAAACACTGATGAGTTCATTCACAGCTTCTTCTGGAAACATGAATGTCGCTGATTAACGTTTGTTTCTTGCTGCTGAAAACAGAACCTGCAACAAAAATCCAGAAACACTGTTCCTGGGACTCAGAACCCTGAATGTTTGCTGTATTCCTGCAGCAGCAGCAGCAGCACACTGAACGTCTCTGGAAACACGAACATAGATTCCTGGAGATCATGGCTGTTTGGTGCTGTTTCTTGCTGAAGGTCACTAAACTTCCCTGGAACCAAACACTGGAATAGAATTTTAACAGCAGTGTTCTGTTTACAAAACAAAATGAAAAAGTGTCAAATGTGACACTTTTTCATTTTGTTTTGTAAACAAAATGAAAAAGTGTCAAATGTGACACTTTTTGAGCTGAAAGCAGAACCTGTGTGAAGAGCAGTGAAAGCTGTGAACAGAACAGCTTCAAGCGCTCAGAGCTGAGCAACAACAATGTCCGAGGTGTGTCAGAGAAGTTCCAGGACTGGTGTCACAACAGATAGATGTCAAACCCAAACTACCAACTACCAGTGTTCTCCTTCCCAGTACTCCTCCTGGACTCTACCACCCTCCTCCAGCCTTCTCTTCCCTCCTGGAAGGATTCTCCAGGAGCCTCTCAGCTCCGTCCTCACAGCCATCTTCATGTCGTCCACGTCTTCTAAACGGGTCTCCTTGATGAGCCCTTGAGCTTGGGGAAGAGGAACCAACCCCACGGAGCCAGGTGGGGTGAGTAGGGAGGAGATGTTCTTCTCAGCCAGGAGCTGTGGGATGCTCAGGGCGCTGTGAGCAGGTTGTCATGGTGACGCAGCCTCCACTGGTCCTGACACAACTCTGCCTCTTCTGGACGAAGCAAACGCTGCAGGACCTCTGTAGACGAGCTGGTTGATGGTCTGGCCCTGTGGTAACAACTCACAGTAGATGATGCTCCTCACATCGAAGAATGCGATCAACAGGACTTTGGACTTCGACTGTCCTGCTGTCTTCAGCCTTGGTGACGTGGGACTCTTCCACTGAAGGCTCTGGCGTTTGGTCTCCGGGTTGTACTCGATCCATGACTCATCACCGGTGATGACTCTACCTAGAAGGTCTGGTTCGGTTTCAAGACACTCGAGGATGTCCTGACACACTTGCACCCGTCGATCCTTCTGATCTTTGCGCAGACTTTCCGCCCAAATCTTCAGCCATAATCTTGCAGATGTTGTCCTGGTTCATGCCCAGCTCATCGGCGATGCTTCTCCTCCCTTTCCTGTCTCTCTACTGCTCCAAATAAAGGCAAACCAAAATATATATGAAAACAACCAAAACATGTGTTGATCTTCAAACAAACTGTCCCTTTGCTCTTCTGAAAACTTTCCCATCTGGGCTTTGCGTATGAACCCTGTTTTTGTCACACAGACAGCTGTGTCAGCGCTCCATCTTGGGATTGAAGCCCAGATACAGTCATAACTCCATCCTGGACCGAGGGTGTGATCACACTCGGGCAGCGCTGTACTATTTTGATGGTTGACATCATTCAGTTCCATCCGCTGTCCTGTGTTCATGCGGTGAGGAGCCATGAGATGAATAACACTGACCTGAAACTGAGTTAACTTAATATTGCTGATGCAACCTGGACTCAAACTTCTGCATCATTTGATTAAAACTACATTTAAGTTGAGTTAATGGAATGAAATGAGTTTGTTAAAAACCCTTTTTAAGCTCGGCGTTTAAACGCAGATTTTACAAACTCAGTCGTTTGTTGGTTGAATCGGTGGAATTTCACGAGAAGTTGTCTGAACTCAAACAGATTGATGCAAACTCTTGCACTATTCTTGTTGCGCCTCAACACCACCTGTTAGAGTGCAAGTACGCTTCAAAAGAAGAAAATGTTGTGATTTACATTTCATTGCTGATCACATATGAGTCTAGTTATAGTACGGGCTGCTCAGTGGTTAGCACCGTGACCTCACAGCTAGAAGGTCGCCGGTTGGCGTCCCGGTGAGGACACCTGGGATCTTCCTGCGTGGAGTCTCCATGTTCTCCCCGTGCAGCGTGGGTTCTCTCCGGGTTCTCCGGCTTCCTCCCACAGTCCAGAAACATGCTGAGGTTAATTGGTGATTGTAAATTGTCCGTAGGTGTGAATGTGAGTGTGCTTGGTTGTCTGTCTCTAAGTGTAGCCCTGTGATAGACTGGTTACCTGTCCAGGTGAACCTGCCTTCACCCTGAGTCAGTTGGGATAGGCTCCGCCCCCCATGACCCTGGTGGGATTGAGGTGTAGAGATGATGGATGGATCCAGTATCAAACAGTAAACTTTATAATCTAGAGTCTGTTTCAGTAAGTTCAAAGATCAAAGTTGTCTCTCTGTGCTCATGTGGTCTCCTCGTCCTGCAGGTGGTGAACCATCTCCATGTCTCCAGACTTTTGCTTTATGCTCTGCTCATCTTCTGTAGAAAGATGTTCCACCATCAGATGAATGTATCTCCACCAACTGTCTCCTCTGGTCTCTGGTTCTGATCCGTGCTGCATCTATTCATTGATCCAGTAGGATGGATTCTCCTTCAGTCTCTCTGAGGAAACTCTGGCTGAAGTTCACCTGAAGCTCTCTGGATGTTTGCCAGTGATGCGTTTCAGGACCGTCTGAAAGTTGAAACCTGGCGAGTCTTTCTGAAAACATCATGTCTCACCAGGTGTTCTTCATACAGGCGTGAACAGGGCTGCCTCTAAACGTCAGCCTTCCTCCAGAGCGTGGTTGTCCCGACTCGCCCGGTCATGTCTCGGACTGTATGTGTGAACACACATGTATGTGCGGTATGTGTGTGTTTGTGCCAGCTGTTTCCGTGGTAACTGAGGAACGCTGCAGAGCTCAGTGGTTTAACAAACGCTGATGCAACCTTAACAGAACAGATACAGAACCTTTACAACGCTGCCCCCGGTGACATCGCGCAGGTCGTACAGGTCAGTCGAGTCTTAACCAATCAGACACACCGAACAACACAAACACACGGCACACACTGCGTGTCCCGCCACCTCTCGCGCTCGTTAACCTCCCGCCCCCCGTCACCTGTCGACCAATCACAGACGACCCCTGCCATCTGCAAACCAATGGCATCAGACCCAGATCACACACACAGATGGAGGCAGTAATTCTATTAGAGAGCTGAAGGGAGACGTGAGGAGAAGCAGCTGCAGCAGATTTAGACACAAACAACACAGTGACACACACACACACACACACACACACACACACACACAGCAGGAAGACTGTGCTTCCTGTTCTCTGTGGTGGTTCAGGTTCTGACTGGATCTCGTGCAGCAGGCCGGGTCTCATGTTAAAGGACCAGTTACACATGAATGCAGCAGCTGCCGACTCAGCGCCTCCGTCGGACTCCGGTCCAACAACGGGACCCGTCTGGATACTGACCCGGCCAACACGCCCCGCTGCCTCCAGTGTTGTGCTAAGCTCGGCTGAAAGTGCTGCCGGTCGGATACGTTGGAGTTTGGACGGTGTTGACTTGGAGCGAGTGGCCAATAGGGAGCCAGCCTTCGGTGTGACCTCTGCTCTGATTGGCTGGATTTGAGTCACAGTCGCTCTGTGTGTTTAAACTCCCCAAACGAAGCTTTAATTGGTTTTTGCACTGAGATGATAGAAGCTTTACACCGACTGGACACACACGCACACACACACACACACACACACACACACACACACACACACA